CACAACAGCTTAATGTCAATGGTGCTCAGTCCTAGAAAGGAGAGAATTCTTCTCAATCAGAATTCTCAATTCAGAAGCCTGAAATTAGTGGCATAAAAAAAATCACAGGATTTGGGTACTAGTCTCATAACTGTTATAGAATAAAAACACTTGAAATTTATATGTCCTAGTCAAAATTGCAACACAGTTCCAAGAACTGAATTAGGAAATATTTACCTTTTTTTCTCTTAGCAATTTTTCTTTCTCATATTTTTTTCCTCAAAGCATAATTCATTTCAGAAAACAAAAGAAACCCTCTGCTAGTGCAGAGTTGGATGCTAAGCACATAACTCTCCTAAGCCCACAGTGAATAAGAGAAACTAAGAGCACTTCAGAAAAAATATTTTTTACCAATTAAGTATGAGGTGTCTTATTTTCATTTTATGTAAATACTTCTACAGACTGTTAAATTGCAGAATCATGGAATACTTGAGGGTGGAAGGGACCTTCTAAGGTCGTGTTGTCCATCCCCACTGCTCAAGCAGATTCACCTGAAGCAAATTGCCTGGTGCCATGTCCAGATGGCTTCTGAATATAACCAAGGGCAGAAGCCTCCCTGGGCAACCTGTGGCAGTGCTCTTACTGTCATAGTAAAAAACATTTAATGATATTCAGAGGGAATCTCTGGTGTTTCAGCATGTGCCCACTGCCTCTGGTTCTGTCACTGGGCGCCACTGGCTCCAGCCTCTTTGCACCCTCCCTCCATGTACATGTAGACATTAATAAGATTCCACTAAGCCTCCTCTTCTCCAGGCTAAACAGTCTCAGTTCTTCCAACCTTTGTCCACAAGAAAAATGCTCCCTTCTGTTGTCTTCATGCTGCCTTGTTGGACTCTCTCCAGTCAAAGTCTCTCTTGTACTGAGCAGTGCCTATCTGGACACAGCACTCCAGGTGTGACCTCTCTGGGGCTGTGCAGAGGGGAAGAATCACCTCCCTCCACCTGTTGGCAATGCTTTGCCTGCTGCAGCCCAGGATACCATTAGGCCTCTTGATCAGCTTGGGGAATTGTGTTTGTCTCTGTCGAACAGAAACTGTTACAGTAGGTGACTCAGTTTCATAAGGAGAAATTCTAGAAAGTCTCTCTAAACATCTAAACAGGCTGTTTTCACTCCGGGATGGTTAGCATGGAAGATGAAAACTTGTACAAATGTACAACAATTCTAATTTTTTCCTATTTACCCAACTGTACAAGGAATATGCAGTAAATATACAGAAAGTTTGAGAATGTGGTTCCCTTCAAATGTAAACAACAAACCCCACCATTCAGTTCCATCTTTATCAGAAACAGTTGTTATTATGATATTATGAAGAGATTAGTTAATTGAAGAGTCAGGTACACATCCCTGTGCCAAAATCATGTGTTGTGGTTTTATCCAGATTTTCCTGGAAGGAAGATATCTTTTCTTTTACTTCTTCCAAGCTGCTATGACCCAGTAGAAATTACCTCAAACAAACAAACAAACAAAAACAAACAAAAACCCAAACCCAACTCACTAGAACTGTAAACATCAGGAAAAAAAGCCCCATGAAAATTAATAAATGAAGCAGTATCATTCAGCTTCTAATTTTGATGGTATGCACCTGATTTTAGTGCTTTTTGTATTTAAAAAAAAAAACGAACAATAATCAGTGAAATCACATAAACAGGAAATTATGTACTGTGGGCTCCAATTATAATAGAAAATTTACATTCTTTCTGTTAGATTCTGTCTGATATATTTTACATAGTCTGAGAGTTTTAGGATCTCCACTGAATTAATTAATTGATTAATGAGCTTGATCCTAGATCTGTGCAGTCAAAAGTATGTTTTTCAGCAAGTTTTATTCCCCTTTGAAAGTAGTAAGCTATAAGAGAATTCAAGTACTCTCTCCATATGCAAACAGATTCTTGTCAGCAAAACTAAATAAAATAGAAAGAATATTATGTTTCCACCGTTTTCTTTATGATTTCCTCATTTTTTATTTAAAAGGAAGCTGGGACTGTCAACTGACTTAGGAAAATGTTGCAATTGTTTTTCACTTTGTCTAAGTAGAGGTGGCCGGGTTTACTCTTTTTTCATCAAAATTTGGTTCTGTTTATTCAATTACAATGTTTCTCTTTTCCTTTGTTTAGGGTCAGAATCCTTTTCTCTTAGGCTTTATCCATGTTTCCCTTCCATCAAATGTCTGAATATTGTGAATATTTGGTCTTTTCCAGTAGTCTCTTCCAGTGTTAGTCATACACAGAGCGACAGTTCTGTAACTGGCCTTGTCTGTTGGAAAGGAAAACAATCTATATGGCAATCTTTATAACAATCTGTTCTTCGTATTTATTATGTGAAGATTTGCCAGCACATATATTTGAGTTTTCTTATCCTTCCATACTCGGGACTGGGCAAGATTGAAGGCAATATACAAACATTCCTGTTTCAAGGCAACCGTATGTAATGTACTGCAGGAAAAACATAACAGTTCTCTCCAGAGTTAATAGCCTTTTAACATTTGATTAAGAAATGAGTTATTGTGATGGTACCAAAATATGTGTTTTAAATAGGTTTCACACACATGTGACATAGATATGTCTAAAACAGATAATGCAATGATATTTTTTTATTTTGTTTAGTATAAGGATATTTACTTTTTCATGTAGCGTGGAATGTTATCCTATAAATATTGCAAACTAGATTGCTTTAAAATTATGTTCTAAGAAACTATCTTCTATGTTTATTAGGTGATAAAGCCTAATTGATGTATTAAAAATAACAAACTTTGAGATCATATCATAGCCTAAAGCATGTTGCAGTTTTGATATATTTTTGTTTAGTCACACATATGCCAGCAAATATATTATCTTTGTATATAGAGAAATATGTAATCTACTTAAGCAGTCAACTGTTAGAAATGTGTATTTTGATGTCATTTGAAAATATGCGCATTTCTATCATAAGTATCACTTTGTATCAACTGAGATACTGTAGCTATAGCAGAGTTTGGGTCTTAGATTCTGATTGGATGCCCAAAATTGTGTATCTTCTAATACACCTGATACCTATATATTTGTTTAATTCAATTGTAGAAACCTTCCCTTTCATTCACAGATTCTTTAATAGTGGCAGCAAATTTTTCAGGAATTTTTTCAAAAAACAGTGGAGGAAACATATTAGACTGTGATGTTTTTATTCTTCTGGGAAAAGGAGCAACCTTGTGGTTTTTTGGATTTTGAGTAGTAAAAGGAAAAAAGACTCTCATAAGATGTTTGTAGCCCCAAAATACACTGGCAGCATCAGTGAATCAGACAGGAACAAAATAAGCTCCCCAACTGAGAAAAAGATTGTTACTTGTCAGCAACTTCATCTCCTACCACACTTGCAAACTTCCTCAAAAAAAACCCCAGAGACTTTTTCATCATTATTGAAAGCCTGTAGGTTTGGGTTATTTATTATTGCTACATACCCATTGCAGGTCATTTGTGTTTGCCACTGATTTCAGGGATAGTAAGATCAGATGTTAAATGCACCCAGTTCCAGTTGCTTACCTTATATCTAGTAGGACCTTCTCACCAGAAAGCCTGTTGAGTCAGTAGAATAAATCTGAAAGTCAATGTTAATGATTCAGTAAGTGTTACTTGAGTGAATTCAGCTAGCTTATGGATTTTATAATTCCGGAAAAACTTTAATATGACATAAAACTTAAACTTTATTTTCTTTCCACATATGTCAATTTCACACAAAAGCTGAAGCTTGAGTAAGGATACCAAACATATCTTTACTATTTGAGGGAGGACTGAGCAAAGAGCTAGATATATTACTATACGCATGGAATAACTCAGTTACTGCTTAATACTTGAATTTTGCTATAATTACCATTAGCACCTGACATTATTTTTTGGGTTATGTGGAGGAGTTGGATCCATAAATAATATCTTCCTGATTTTGAAAGAGACAAATGCTAGCACATACATCATCCATATTCTGTTTCCATGAAGCGAGTAGTTTATCAGACCTTACACATGCAAAATTTTCTGTAAAATTCCATTGAACTTAAATCCCTGAGAGAAATAAGACACAAGTCCAATTCTGAGCACTTTAGGTAATATAGATAAGTACATCTAATGTACCTGGGGTAAGCAGGTAAGCATAAAAAACATGTCAGTATTTCAGTGACCCAAATTAGGGAGTCAGTTCAGAAAACTCTAAAATGCATGTCAGAAGTCATTCTAATCAAAATGTGGCAGATTTGATAGGTGAACCCAGACTTTGAATTGTTTAATTGCTGTCACAGCTTACTGAAGGTAGGACTTAAACTCACTGAAACCTTGAAGCCATTTAAAAGGCTTTTGCCCTTGAACAACTGCCAAAATGGAATTTTAGGTATTTTTATGTGCATACAAGTTTTAGACAAACATTGATTTCTGTAATTGGAAAACAGGTTGTCTTTCAATGCAAATTATTTTCACTGTTACAGTTTTTGCAAAGATAACTTTATACCTTGTTTCATATTATTATCGTGCCTCTGCATCTGCGGCCAGAGCTGGTACCTGTGAATACTGGTTGCCCTGTACTTCTTTTGCAAAGACAAGTTTATGCCTCATTTCATTTTGCTGTCATTTACTGTGCCTCATCGGCTAGGCTGGAACCTGAGAATATTGGTTGAACTGTCAGAATCAGGCAGGCTTTTAAGAAAATGAGTTTTGACATTCCTTTCCTTAAGATGATCCCTTGTTTTTCAATTACTGCTTTCTGACTTGGAGATTTCTTAAGGTAACCCCGCGTTTGTTCCCAGTCTGTCAAGCAGGTGGCAGCAATGCCCCATCGGAGCAGCTGCCGGCCCCTTTCCCTGACTTCAAGTGTTAATGCAATTGACCAATCAGTGCTAAGATGATGGGAGGTAATTGGGTAATTGTATTTTACTGATCACAAGCAAAGAAAAAGGGAAAGGGAGGGGGGAGAGAAGAAGGGGAAGGAGGGGTGGGGGGGAAGAAAGAAGAGAGAAAAAAAGAGAGAAACAAATCGCAACAGAGGAAGAGGGGAGAGAACGGAAGGGGAGAAGGAGGAGTGTAGCCAGAGCGACTGGCCCTGGGACATTTGCAAATCCTAGGGTGCCACTGGAAGGTGGGGAGTAACAGCAAGGCAGAGCGACTGAAACGCGGAGCTACTCCCAGCGACAAGAGCAGCTGTCAGGAGCTGGATATACACATCCATGCGTCCCTACATGCTCACACGGGGAGAATTCAAGCTGCAGCTGATGGGAGGAGGGAAGCGTTTCGGCTGTGCAAAGGGCTATGCATGTCAGGGATGAAACTCAAAGCTGAAAGAAGCGGCTGCGCTCCTGGGACTGTGTCATCTTGGAAAGGAGGGAGGCAGGAAGGAAGGAAGAAAAGGGGGAAGATAACTGGCATGTGGAAGAAGATGGGAGACTAACTCGCTGCTGTGCAGAAGGGAAATCCAACTTGTACATCTGAAATACACCAGGCTCAGCTTGGAAATGAGATCAGACCTGCATTGAAACACAGAAAGGGAGGAAAAGGGAGGTAGAGACGGGAGAGCTTTTATCTTTTTCCTGTCTCTCTTTCCCTCTCTCTCCTCAAAGAAATAGAAGTTTATCCGGCTCTGTGCTTCTGGATTCATATAGCTGCTGGACAAAAGATGGAGAGGAAGCTAAAATGAAAAGCAAAGTATGCTTCTGAAATGTACAGCTAAAAGGACAAATCAAATAACGGGTTATTTTGTGCCCCATCGGAGGAGTTTTAACGTCTGAAGGATTTTGAAAAGTGGGGGGGGGGGGGGCAAAGGCAAGAGTGGGCGTTAAAAATACCCATCCCAAGTGTTTAAAAAATAACAAGGTGATGGATTTATTCTTGACAGCTGGTGGGAACCTTGAATTTTTCTCTACTCCCTCCCTCCTTCATTTTATTTAATGTGAAATTATGAAAATGCAGAGGAGTTGGAGGGAAGGCGAAAGGATATAACGTGGAGTTTGAAAAAATGAGAGGGTGCTGATGCTGTGGATTGCTGGCTTCTTGCCGAAATCAAAAATCCAATTGCGCACTGGGTTGTGATTGGAAATCTAATCAGATCTTTGGAGAGGGGGGAGAGAGACTAAAAGTTTATTGTTTTGACAGACAGGAACAAAAATTTAAATGCAAAAGGAAATTATTTTCTTAAGGAGTGTGGGGGTATAGAGGAAAAGAAGAATGGGAATCCCCATTCTAATGTGGAGACACATGGATTGGATAATTGATAGTGCAGCAAAGAAGGGGGAAAAAGAAAATTGCTTGGCAAGACCTGGATCCTAAGTGTCACAACAAAATTTCATTAAAAGAATACAGATGGAGGATTGCTTAAAAGGAAATACAGTTATTTCTGCTCTCCAGAGAAAAAACAAATAGAAAGCAATGGGGAGCAGTGGAGCCAGAAAGGCAGAAAACCTCAGAAAAAGGAAATTAGGCAAACGATCCACAGTGGAATGAAAAGTTTCAGAAAGGAAAAGGACCATTCATCCTCCTCAAGGATTTTTGTTTTTTTCCTGTTATTTTAAACCACTATTCTTCAGTGAAGGCAACCGTCAACATTACCACTACAGAAATTTTAAGCAGAAAAGTTGAAAGCCACAGAGAAAATAAGGACAGAGAAGAAGAAAGCAAATTGCCAGAGGGGGAGAGTTCAGCAGTGTTGGGTTGGATTGGCACCTGTATGGACTGAAATTGCTGGGAAATTGGAATTGGATATCCTCTTTTTTTTTTTTTTTTTAAATTTTCTTTCTTGTTTAATTTTGGTTTGGTTGCTGAAATGAAATAGTTTTCTAACCCCTCCCCCACCCTGGTTTTTCATAATCACTCGGATTTCCAGCTGGATAGTCTTTGAGGATACAGTGAGTACACTTTCCATTTTATTATTTTTTAGAAAAGCAAATATGCCCCATTGATTTTTTTCTTTCATCTTTATTCCTCTTTTCTTGGTCTTTCCTTCCACCTGAATAAAGAACCTGGCTGTATTTTGATGATGGCTGCAGGGGGGTTGTTGGGAAGAGAAAAGGGAAGGAATAGGATAGAAGTGAATTGTCACAGTAGCTCAAATTCCTAAAACTCGTGCCTTGGTAGGGTGTCGCAGACATCTGCCTGTGTGTCTCTATAGCATTTGTAAATGTTTGCTAGCAAAGAAATCTTTTGAGAAAGCCCTTGCAGTGAGCGGGGGGTGCAGCCTGATTGCCCAATTTCTACAAACGGATGCAAGTTGCATGGAATTAGATGCACAGAGGAGGTTTATTTATTTACGAAGTGTTTAAAGCAGTTCAGGGCTCTGATTTGAATGCTGGTATCCAGTCTGACATTGCAGATCAATATGGTGTATTAACAGGAACATTTTATAATCAGGCAGGGAGGTGAAGGATGGCTTTTGGCGGGAGTGGGGGGGGGGGGGTGTGGGGCAGGGGCTTTTAATGGATTTTGGGGATGCAGCTCCAAGAGAAATGACATGTTTTACACCCCATTGGTAAGAAAGGACAATAATAGGCAGAGAGAGGATATTCTCCTATTGAAGGGGAGTTTAGGGAACTGCTGTACTGGCCACCCATGCCCTCCGGATCTCCTAGGAAATTCTTTGTGATTTTGTGGTGAATCCTTCAGGGTCCCCTTGGACTTTCATGGCAGTTGAAAGAGATTTACTTTGATTGACAAGCACTGAGAGGATTCTGAGGTGTCAGGAGACTTTTTTTTTTTATTATACTGGTAATGAAAATAAAAGTGTCTTGTAAATGGTGGGGTCCAGAAATTAGCAATGATGTGTAGCAGACCAGTAAATCTCTCTCCCTTCCTGGAGAAATGTCATGTGGGAGTGTGGAATAAAGGGAGGATAACATGATGTTGAAAATAGAGGTCCATGTTTTCCTGTGGGGAAGAGTGCTACTTCCGTCCCCTCTCCAGGCATGACTGCACAGCTCGTGAGTAGGGAGATTTCTTTCTTTTTCTTCCCCTTCTGTCCTCCCTCACCTCTGCCCTCTTCAACCTTGGCCTTCACATGTTAAGGCTACAGCTGAAGGTATTAGGCCAAAACTGATGCAGAATGAGAGGGCGAAACAACTAATTAGAGGAGCCATTGAATAGGAATGGTTTTTTGGGGTTTTTTTGTGGGTTTTTTTTGGTGGGTTTTTTTTGTTTGTTTTTTTGGTTTTTTGGTTGGTTTTTTTTTTTTTGCAGGCAAGATGCAGGACTACCTTTGCTATTCATTTTACTTTTCTCTAGCAGCAATATTCCAGAGAAGAGGAGAGCGGTCAGAGAGGAAAGAAGTGTTGGTAGATCCAGATTTTAGCTCTTCTAATTTCTGGCAGCATTTCTCACTTCACAAGCTGCCTGCATGGAACAATGCAAAACAGAACTGTAACTTCCCTGGATAAATACATAAACCATCATTAGCCGCTTCCTTTCCCCCCCCCCCCCCCCCCCCCCCCCCCCCCCCCCCCCCCCCCCCCCCCCCCCCCCCCCCCCCCCCCCTTTCATTCATTCATTTACATCACTCCTATTACTTCATGTAAATGTCCTGAATCTTCTGGCATAATGGAAATGAGACCTTCTGCCTCTCAAATGTGTCCCATGTGCTTGTTTGGAGGTCATGCCTCTTCAACATTGGCTAGTTGAAAAAGATAAATCAATTCTGCTCCAAAGGAAATCTCTGGGAGCTTTTGTTCGGCCACACGAACAAATCAGACCCTTTGTGCAGTTGTGTTCAAGAAAAGAAGGAAGCAGGCACAGCAAAAATTGTTCCTTCCAGCTCCAATTACTCTCATCCTTCTCAATATAAGCTGAATTGTTTTAGTGTGAAGTGCCTTAGCCTTCTTTTTTTCTCTGGGCCTGTTTCCTGGTGGGACACTAAATGGGTAATAAGTTTGTCAGCATCTGAAAACAAGTGCAAAACTCTCTCCTGTTCATTCCTTCATGTATCATGATAAGTCTGTGCCCTGTTGTGAGCTACACTTACATCAGCAGTTGCAGCAATAGAAAAGCTAAATTTATGATAAGCTGCTGCTCAGTAATTACTGAAGGAAAAAGAAGCTGGCTAAGGAAAAGGCATCTCCAAGCTTTTCCCTGGATTGCTGTCAAGTGAACGCAGAAAATTTGATGGAGCAACTCCAGTTTTGGCCAATAGAAAGCTGTCATAGGTGCCCCATTCATTTTGTACAATAACTAGCAGGAGTATTTTCTTGACATGAAAAAGAAGCACTGGGAAGATTTAGTCACCAGTTTGGGCTGAAATAGGCAAACCTTGTCAACATTAAAAAGCTAGGGATGTGTGTCTGCTTCCAAAGAGGCAACAGTTTCACACTTCAGTGAATCATTCACTTAATACAGTAGCCAAAAGACACATGGAACAACCCAGAGTTTAACTCATTCAATATCAAAGTGGGAATGATTATAGCATTTTTCAGCATTTGTGCTGCAGTTTACCCAGAGCCCAAAGGGCTGATCATAAATTAAATAGCCGAAACATTCATCCAAACATACAGCCAAGTGAGAAGCAACATATCTCCTCAACCAGAGGCCAGAGCTGGCTGTCTCTGTGACTTCTCTCACAGGTGTCTGAGCTGGTCCTGAAGGCTATCTCCTCTTCAAACCATGGATGATATTTTCGGTAGTGACCTTAGGCAGTTGGGATTTTAGCACTGTACAGGGAAAAATTATGTGTATATTTATGCACTAAATACTTGTACAGGAGGAAAAATAAAGCTGAATTGGAAGGTCCTGCTCTGTTTGGTCTAATTGTTTTCCAGAAGGTCAGAGATCACATATCCCAAACTTCAGGCAAAGTAAATTTTTAATGCAAGGGGGTGGCTGCTCTGTGTCTTTTCTCATGTCAGGAATGATTTGTACTGATCTAGAATTGAAGAAGGTTCAGTTTGCTGGAGCAGCAAATTGTGTCACAATATCTCCCAGCCTGATACCACTGACAAGTGAAAAATGAGCTTTCAAATTAGGCGAGACCCAAGAAAAAAATGTTGTAGATGTGAGCCCATACAAGCAATTATGTGGAAGTAGAGAAAAACAAAGGGATTCCAGAGGTGTTGCTATGGCTTCCTATATGAAGGCTTTAAAATTATTTGCCTCTGACCTAAAAAGCTGTCTCCCATTTGACATGAATATTCTTGCAGTTGCAATATGAGGCAGGAAGATTTTGGATGGGGCTCAGGACAGGATTCTAGCACATTTTCAGAGAGCTTGTCGCTGGTGAAAAATCCCAAGCCAAGCTATCCAAGTTGCAATATATTCACTGAAGGAGTGCACTGTGCACTAAGCAGCAGCATGAGAGAGACAGAGCCTCCATCTCAGTCTTGCCAGGGTGGCTTTGTGTTGGCTTGGAGATATGTTTTTGTTTCTGATGGCTATTGAGGGAACAAGGGGAGAAGGAAGGGTGATGGAATTAGTGCCATTTTCAGTCTGGAATGAAAATTAATCTGAAGATATGCAGTTGGAACTCAGTATTTTCTAGAGTAGTGAAGCTGACTGGATTTCGGGTTAGTATTCTCAGGGGCCTTTCATCCCATTGCCAGCTGCTCTGTGAAAGTCATAAACAAAAACAAGCTTCCTTCAGCCCCCACAGGATAACCCAGATGAGAAAGATTTAGGAATAGCAGCAGCCATTCTGATCTGGAAGGCAGCCTTGCAGCGTGCTTGACTTTAGTAGCTTAGAGAAGGAGCAGCCCTTGGAAAGGATCCTGTCTCTACTTCTTGTCATGGCAAGAGGCATTGGGGATTGGTTTATGACACTTTAGAGTGGTTCATCTAATGACTCTATTCAGAAAAAAAAAAAAACAACAAAACTTTTTATTTAACTGTACTATCATGGTCATTTTTTTCTCCTAAGGGGTGGAAATGGGGACACAAGATGGGAGATGATTATGCCAGTGGTGTGTTTTAGTTGCATATTCACAAGCTGCAATACATGGAAGGGAATTAATGCATAGTTCCTGGTAGGGGGTCTGGATATTTTGCTATCTGTTAGTGAAAAAGGCAAAAATCAGAAGCTTGTGCATGCACACAATAAAAGAGAATCAGGATTTACATTTGGTATCCAAGGAAGCGAGAACAGAATCCTGCAGGGCTTTCTGTTCATTGTTTAAATGTTGCCATAGTGATATCTCAGGGCACAAGTTACGTGTTTTCCTCTTCTAGAGTTGATCTTTGCTTCTCTCTCAATCTCCCCCTCTCTCTGTCTCTCTTGATATTCTAAACTACCAGGAATATCTCCGCAGTAGAACTTTGCACAGCAATAGGAAAAGGTGTTTGTAGGCTGCATTATCTGATGGCATATCTGCCTGTATGCCCTTCACTAATATGTTGGAAACCAAGTTAGAAGGAAATTGTTGGATAGAAGTGGAGTGTGAGACTTATTGTGGTTAGGACATGGAGCATATTACAATATTTTCTGTAGTGGTGATATGTTAATTGGATAGCTGCAGGCAAGCAAAGTGTAGCAGTCGCTGACAATTAGAAACAACAATGAACTTTCCAGGACTGGATCTATTCCTTGGGCATATTAAAATGCATTTCAGGGATATACCATAGCTTGTGTAAATTTAAATGCTACCACCACTGTAATAAGTCTTGAAATTCTGTTTTCACAGTGCCAAGACAAGATTTACCTTTGCTGCTTGTGAAAGGGAGAGAGGCAGCATCAGACCACTGAATAAAATCTATCATAGTTTTGCTGCCAAGCTTGTACTTGTTATGTCAGGACTGTGGGGGAGCAATATAACCAGGAACCAGCAGAATTAAAAAGGAAACCAACCACCCTCAAAACAAAGCAAAAGATTCCATCAACAATTACTTCACTTGCAACTAGATAAAGCTTACTCAGTAGTTTCACAGCAAGATAAGTTAA